TGCTAGTCGGTACCAGTCTGCACTTATTTGTACAGGAATACTTTGTACACGTATATATGACATATTATTACTAAAGCAACCTAGTTGTATAAAAGGAGTTAGTAACTTGGAAAGAAAACAGTGTTATAATTTCTTAGTTCGTCCAGTATATATATATATATATATATATATATATATATATATATATATATATATATATATATATATATATATATATATATATATATATATATATATATATATATATATATACATTACATAAGGTTACAGATGATTGCAGTGTCAATACATACATACATACATACATACATACATACATACATACATACATACATACATACATACATACATACATACATACATACATACATACATACATACATACATACATACATACATACATACATACATACATACATACATACATACATACACACATATACATACTCTTTATCAATGATCAAATACGATATTTATAAATTTTTCATTAAAAGAAAACGAGGATGCCGAGTTTCAATTTAATAAAACAGTTATACATCAAGTAGTATATCATTAATACAGCGCACATATTATAGACACATTTTATTTATATCACATTCACATATTTTACCTATGAACAGAGTTGCTGCGAATGTGTCCGCTAAAAATGTAGTAATATGCCTGTTATTGTTGCTGGCAATCACCATTGCAAATTGATAAGTTGATAGTTCATTTCGTGATCTCCTCTTCTACGGAAAGCTGAGAGGTTCTCTGGCACACATTAGCATTGTTAATGATGTCTGGCTAGCGGATCTGGACAATTCTTCTTAGGCAGCTGTTGATGAAGGTCAGAACTTTCTTTACTGTCGACTTGGTGGTTCTATGCTCTATTGAGTAGAACTGATTTCACGGTGGAGTTAAACAGTCTAGTCTTGGTAGTCAAGAAAAATTTCTTTGGAGCTCCAGATGTTCTTAAGATGCATGAAAGCTGTTTTCGCCTTTTCGATCCTTGCCTTGACGTCTGCGTCCGTGCCACCTTGCTGGTTTGATAATGCTGCCCAGGTACGTGAAGGACTTCACCTCTTTTAATGGATATCCATGCAGTGTGACTGGGGTGTTGCTGACATAATATATCTTGAGGATCTTGGTCTTGTCTTCGCAGATGTTGAGGCCAACGTTTGTTGATGTAGCTGCCAGTACGTCAGGCTTGTCCTGCATTTTTGTTGCTGACTGTAGAACAAGAGAGCTAGGTCATCGGCAAAGTTCAGATCCTCAATCTGACTCCACAATGTCCGCTCCATCCCATTTCTTTGCCCATTGGTGGACGTCTTCATAATCCAATAGTCGATGGCAAGAAGAAATGGAAATGGCGACAGCAAGCAACCTTGCCTCACTCCAGTCCGCGATAGGAAGCTGTCTGTGAGCTGTCCTGCACGAATGACTCTGCAGGACATTCTGTTGTAAGTGTTATTGTTTAGGTTTACCAGCATGGTTGGTATGCTGTTGTGACAAAGAAGTTTCCAGATTGTCTCTGTCCACGCCGTCTAATGCCTTCTCATAATCGACAAAGCTGATTTAGAGCGAAGAATTCCAATCCAACGATTGCTCGGATATTATGTGAAGAGTAGCTATTTGGCCCGCTTGTTCGTCTCGTAACTGTGGGATCCTGTTGACTTTCCTTGGTACTGACATGAGTGTGATTCTTCTGTATTTGGAGCACTTGCTGAGGTCGTCTTTTTTAGGGATCTTGATAAAACTCATGTGCTCATATCATGTACCTCCTTCCAGTTAGGCGGTATTTATTCTTCCTCCCAGATTTTCTCAAAGAGGGGATATAACATTTCCACTGAAACCTCCAGGTCTGCTCTGAGAGATTCTGCTGAGATGTCATCAGGCCCAGCTGCTTTGCCGTTCTTTAGCAGTGTGATGGCTTTCTTGATCTCGTCTCTGGTGGGATTCTCACAGTTTATGAGAAGATATGCATTGGCGAGATGGATTTCTTGGCATCAAGATAGACAATAGAAATTACGTTGAAGGACTGGCAGCAGAGGCAGAAGAAGCGGCCGGAAGTGGAAACATGAAGAATCTGTACGACATCAACAAGAAGCTGTCCGGCAAGTAGAGCAAAATAGAGACCCGTAAAGGGCAAGCAGGGAAAGACCATAGCAAGTACAGAACATCAAATGAATGGATGGGCAGGACATATTGAAGAACTGTTGAACAGGCCAACATCACTAAGTCATTAATGATTAATGGGTCAAAAATCATAATTGATCCAAAGGCCTGAAGTTGAAAGAATGTTTATATATTCGTATTATTGCGTCATGGGCGGATCCCAATTTGATATACAATAATATTGGCATATAAATTTTCTTTAGGCCAACACTTTAAAAGCCAATTCTACAATCAAATATCTGGAAACTGCTGTTGGGTACTCGATAGCTCTTCCATTCCTTCCGGAAGCGACTAGTTTTACTGATCAATGAGTGTGATAACCAAAGCGGGAGGAGGCATTGTGTGTGTGTGTGTGTGTGTGTGTGTGTGTGTGTTATACTGCGTCGGTTGATTTATAGTCGTTCGTACTCTTCATATCAAGAGTCCTTTGAACAGCAGACGATAACACTGATTAAAGTTCTAAAACTTGCTAATATCGTAAATAATTTTCCTCGAATACCCCCACCTCCACTCATTCACGATGCTCTAATTGCACACTAAGACGTATTTTTTTTTCATCGTATTGATATGATTTAGCAATACGTAATTCTAAGCTGTGTTCGGTATTTCATATCATGTACCACTTTACAGGTACAAACACACAATACTCAAACTTATTACTATATCTAGTCATGTAGATGAGATTATTTACACGGTAACCTTACATTATGAATTGCAAATTGAGCTAATGTACGAAACTAACTTGTACCAAACTTTAGCGTCCCGACTACTTTTATTGGACAGTTACTATGTTTGAAATCAACCTTCCCAACACATGTTTCAGTTAGTAAAGGAAATATCACCAAAATGTCTCAAATATATGAGCACAGAAAATAATACAAAACGTACATACCCTAAATTTTGTCACATTATTATTATTATTATTATTATTATTATTATTATTATTATTATTATTATTATTATTATTATTATCATTATCATCATCATCATCATCATCATCATCATCATCATCATCATCATCATCATCATCATCATTATTATTATTATTATTATTATTATTATTATTATTATTATTATTATTATTATTATTGTTGTTGTTGTTGTTGTTTCAGATGTTTGCCAACTGCCAAGTGAGGTAGGACCATGCAAAGCAAGGATCAAGAGATATTATTTCAAGAAAGAATCTGGAAAATGTCGATCCTTCCACTACGGCGGTTGTGGAGGAAACGAAAATAATTTCACATCACGTAGCAGCTGTCGGAAACGCTGTGAAGGAAAGGGTGCCAAAAATGATTGGACCTCCAAAGCCAATGTAAACGTTTCAATGGGCATGTAGAAAAAATAAAACAACACGAATTCAGCGTTTTGTACTTATATCACATTGATGCATTCTGCTCATACTACAGGACATCTTCATCAACAGCATTTTTAAAAATAATAAAACAAATGCGTCCAGAAAGATCAAGATTATCTTCATTTCATATATATGTGAATCATTTTGGAGCAATTAATTTTATACGGAATCGAAATTCTTGATTATAATGTCGATCTTATCACTCTTATTGCCAAACTGGCCAACTATAATGCACCATCTATGATAGTTCTTCTCAATGGCATAAAAACAAAGAGATATATAAAAAATGGATGAAGCAGGAATCACGCATATGAATTGTGGCATTAATTCAGCTCCCAACAGTAGCTAGCTAAGGGTAAATGTCGCCCGAGTGACGGTGATGGCTCAAAGTATTTGTTGCGCGTCAATACCTTTGGCGTCCATGGTTTTATTGTCCCAAGACCTCCGCCCTGTCTGCCCCCTCGCCAGCCGTTGATCCTTGAAAGTATCGTGCGTCCCTATTCCCTGCCAAGGCGAATTACAGCTGCATTGCAACGACGATACAAACAAAGCTACCATGTTTTAAAATTTTTTATGGACTGTGAAATTTGACATATTGACATATTTACTTTCCTACATGTAATAATTCAAATTGTGTATTTTGTCAAATTATTGAGTGTTTTCATACAAACAATCTGAGATTTTTATTTCAATTTGCAGATTGATACAGTGAACATTGCCGGGATAAGTGTACTGTAGAATCATCTCAGTGATTAATAACCGACAGACGTCGGTGTAGCATCTATAAACAAAAGACCGTACTGATCTAGATCTTCTCCAAACACAATCAGAGATTCCAATCATTTATGGTAACCGCAAAATTGTTTAAGCTGGCGAAGCATGTCATGTTTATTTGCAAAACGACACCCACGCTGGCAACCTATACCAAGTCGAAATGGCTGCATTGTTGTCCATGAGTGCATTTTCATACAATAGGTAATTGTCTTTCCAAACATAGCAATAGCTACGGTACAATGCTTTATAAAATCGCTGTTTACATTAGCATTGGAATTATTTTTACTGCCTACATTTTAGCCACACCGCGTTCTCTCGCGTGTGACAAGAGGGTAAAAAGTTGCAAAGTTAAGGGGTAATAAAGGAGTCGATTTCGATCAGTACAAAAATATAAACCTCCCATTGTGATAATACTAATAGTGCAATTTTCAGTGTGTGCTTGCCATGGCCAATTGGCAATATGTAATGAAATTAACTTCTATAAACAAATAACGAAATAGTTGAAATATTGCAATATTTCAGTAATATCGCTGCGATGCCTACATTGTGACCTTTTCTAATGATGTCTATCACTGGGGCATCATTCCGCAGAAATGTGGCATAATGTCACACACAGTCATATTATCCTGACACTGGGCCGACTAGTCCTAACACTAACCTCTTAATGCTGAGATCCAAGCTAGGCAACTGTTGGTACCCTTTTTTAAAGTCATTGGTATGACTAGAGCGAGGTTCGAACCCGCGACCTCCTGCATCAGAGGCGGGCGATCTAACCAATAAGCCACCGGAGCGGTACAGAAAGACATAACATGTCGAATAAAAAGTACTGTTAAAACCAACTATTTGGTTTGTTTGTCTTAGTATTTCAAAATCAGAGGTTACGTTATGCATTATCCTTTCCATGTTTCTCAGTATCTCATGATTTTTCATGTACAATTTTTTGACCGAATATTTTTCTAATTTCATATTTCGTCCTTAATGAGTATTGTTTTTGTTCTGCTCGAGTTCCTTGTATGATTATTTAATGTGTACGAAGTAAAAGAAAGTTTTTAGAACTATTTCATCTATCTAATAAACGATATTTAATAGGATGGTTTTTTTATCAATACTTTTGATTCGACAAACTACTCATTAAGAATGACAGATGAAATAAGAAAGAATATTCAATCAGAAACTTGTGCATGAAAATTCACGAGCTACTGAGAAACTGTTGCATGGGACAGAACAATACATAACGCAACCTCTGGTTTTGAAACACTAAATCCATTATAAACTAATCACTTTTAAAGAACATATTAATCAGTGTCATACAAGATTACAAAATGGACAACATTAACAAAACAAAAACATCAACGATGATAAAAGTGATTATGATGATGATGATGATGCTAAGGAGAACAAAAAAAAAAGAAACCAATAAAAAAGCCAAAGTGGTCAAGATTATCCGGGAAATAAGACTGACACTATAAATCACCTGATAAGTAAGTGCTGCTAATTTTCTTTGTGGCATCACAAAACATGTCAGATAAATTAGTCCTAACCGTACACTGGCACACGGTTAAGAAATGTCGGTTAGAGTGTAGAAACAAAGAGTGCGATCACAAAAAAGAAAAAGTGATTGGAACGGCATCACAGAAATGCCGTGGAAATTGAACACTGTGAGAGAATGAAAGATACAACAACCGACCCTATGGCCGACACAATCAATTTGAAATTAACCGGTTCCACGGTTGGTAAAAATAAGATTTGAACACTGAGAATCAATGCTTGTAGAAACTCTGTTTTCGTATCTGCAGCTATTGGCGTCACAGGTTAAATTGATCTGCATCTTGGAGGTAATCCTGACAATGTTTGGCACTATATGGAATCCAGACCTTTCAGGTCCTGCACGCATAATTTGTTTATTTTTGAAACACATCTTTTGGCCAGTCAAGAACTGTTTTTACAACAACTGTCTAACGTTAATCAAATGTTTAGATTCAGTTGAGATGACACAGCTGAACGTGGGCTCGTGTTCAAGTATGACAGTTTTAGTTTTTGCCGGTCACCAACGAAATCTTCTTTTCCAATCAATGCAATGGTAGTTTCCGAGACATTTCATGACATTACGCAGTTTCGCCTGCGAGACCTGCTAGCGGTGTAAGTGTTTGTTCAAAACCTTCTGTGAGGTCTCCCCACGCACTGTAGTATATTGTTGAAACGGATGTGTATGACTAATATTACGGAGCAGTTCACGGTGTTCGGAGGTTGCTTTACGATATTACTTCCCTACTCCACTACTCTGCTATATTATCACCGGCATCTTTTGACATTATATTTGTCATAGTCGTGTAAATTTTCATTTCCAGACTCTCGCAATGCTTAGACAATGCGAGTCCACTCAACTTGATAGTAGGGAAATTTTACCGGTTCTGTGTGATCTACTCGAACATATTCCAAAACATCATCCTACGAGTGGTCAATAATGCACTATTTTCAATGAATGTTAGCAAGAAAGACCATGCCACTAAATATCATCAACGTGTTGCAGTTGACACGCTACACTTAGAAACATGTGCGAATCGTCGAGTCACATGGATCAGGTTTGTGTTTTTGTGTTTACCTCGGAAAAATATTCTCAAGGTCAGGCTTTGAGTTCAGGCTTTTCATCATAGAACACAAAAAAGACTATTCTAACTTGAATCAAGCTTGTCAACGGGAGGAGCTTCATCAATTACGGAAAAGAAGTCATTGAGGGCAAGTTGTCTCTTGGTGACGACCGAAGTGCTTACAAGAAATCACTGATCACATCATAACATGGACGATCGTTCGCCCACAGCGTTATCACGCACAGCCGATTCCACAATAACCATTACATTATTTGATAAAAAACAACAGATGTGTCTGATGATCAGACCAGGTCAATTATAGACGTCCAAAGTGAATCTGGAAATATATCTCCTTGATCTGGTGGTCTATGCTTTACCTACGCAGAGAAATCAATGATGGTGAAAGAGTTTGTGATGCCAGGTCAAACACAAATTATTGCATAATGCAATCAGGGTTTCATCCTGTGTGCGTTCCGCATGAAAACTCGTAATATAAATCCAGCTCTAGTTTAAACACATAATGGTCTAGCCGCGCTTGCTTGAACTTGTGTTCAGCCAAGAGCAAAGAAGTTCACGTTTCTGTGAAAACGTCTGGTTCCAGGTGTATCGGAAAACGCAAACGCGGTGTTAAAATAAACTTGAAAGTAGTGATGTTACTGCTAAGTTAGTGAAGCTTCCCAAGACGCTTTGGAGAGAACACTGGGGTGAAAAACACCGTAGGTCTGGAACACTAGAAGACAAGTGGGCCATGAATACTACTGGATATATAACTTGATTAAGACAACTAAACAGGCCCTGTAAATTTCATCGAAGCGGCGTGTTACCGACATATTCTTTCCTACCAAACAAAGTGATGTCCATGCAAGACAACGTGTTGATATAGATCTCATCCATGAGTTAAATAGGATCAGTCCTACACTAAGCGAACGAATCTTCATTAGCAGAAGTAATATAATTGCACTGGGAGAGGAGCAACTCCATTTATTAGATGTAAATCTCGTCGATTTTTCAAACATGGATAACACAGTGAGTGATTAGATTTACCCAACCGGTTCGAGGAGGATTTCCGCGGATGGTCTGATGTAAGAATCCCAAACGAAGTTCACCGGGATGATCTTTATTTCTTCCACATGAAAGTCTATAGGACAATATATACATGCACGCGTTAATCATTTTAAATATTTCAGCAGATACAATAAGCTCAACCCTTGACGTTTATTAATATAGGCGGTGTCGAGGATGCACTTAAATGTATTTTGCAGACGCGGACAGCTTATATGATCACGGTTGTTGCAAGTTGAATCCCAGCAAACCATTCCCCAGAGTCGTTTCTTTCTTTGTTAAGATAACTTGAGGTGCAGGATTGTGTTGAAGATCTTACGTCGTTGCCGCAGACATTCCAAAAGCATACAGTTTCGAAAATTCTTTTGCACAATTACGCGTGAAGCACCTTTTGCCCTCAACCTCGATGAAATAGATTTTGGGGCATATTCCCACGTATTCATCAATGTGCTTTCCCGCACACTTGTGTTGAATTTCCCTTCGACTATCTTATGGGTGTTACTAAACAGTGGATCGTCTTTCAGATACTCGTTTTCACCCATATCAGTGTAAAAAAGATATCTAACCATAATTTAGAAGGTTACACAAAATATTTGATTCTTAAATATATGCGTAACAGTAATAACAAAAACACAGATGGAGGGCGGGCGAATTATAAAAGCAATTATTATAACTGTTTTCGAAATACTGATGAACAAGGTGAAGGGGAAGAAATGTTTATGATAAAGAAATTTCATAGTTGTCTTCAGCGAAGAAAAGTTAGAAAGTTTAGAATATACAGAAAAGAAAATGTCATTTTTTTTTAATTTCAAGAAGAAACATATTTCTCATACTGGACTTTTGATGTTAGTCGAATACCGAATAAAGTCACGAATGTTATGCAATGGAAAATCTGTTTTTATACTCATTATATTTTTCCATGTTTTTTCCCAAACGAAACGTTACTGAAGCGTGTTAAAGGTTCACATTGTCCAATTTATTTGACATATTTATGTGTTCATTTTTTTTAAAAGGTCAGCTTTAATAAAAGCAGACCACACCTAATTGCTAACATTAATATCATAATTGTTCTATTTCTAGCAAAGCTAAATAGTGTCAGGTATGTTGGCATAAGCTGAAATAGTTTATGATTTAAAAATGCATACAATTAGCAAAATAGACGAAAACAACGCTGTCAACAAGTAATTCAAGAATTATTCTGGCATAGTTGTGCACGAATTATTTTGTTATAGTTGTCAAAGAATACAGGATGAATAACCTGGATTGTGCAAAGCGTAATTGAAAAAATAAATTTAATAAGCTGCCGAACTGTCAATCGGTAATGTAGATTTTTCTGCAGATTAAAAAAGTAATCTTAACAACAGAGCTAATAATAACATTTAGTAATAAGCATTCAGATAATAATATTAAATTGTCTTACTTTTAAGTAACAATCTGCAAGTATTATTGGACATTGTAGTTAAGAAACATCTCATATACTGTCGTCAAGTATCCTCTGACACTTTGGCAACGAAACAGCACCAATAATATTGTCAAGTATCCACTAACAATGTAATAAAGAAACATCTCCAATAATAGTATCCTCTGATACTATAGTGACTAAGCATCACAAATACTGTCGTCAAGTATTCTCTGACATTGTGGCAACGAAACAGCACCAATACTATCGTCGGTTATCCTCCGACTCTTTAGCAACGAAACATCACAAATACTGTTATTTATCCTCTAACAATGTGTCAACACAACAGCGCAAATACTGTGGTCAATTATCCTCCGACACTGTAGTAACTAAACAGCACCAATACTGTCAAGCATCATCCGACACTGCAGCAATATAAACAGCACTAAAACTGTTGTCATGTATCATCTGACACTGTGGCAACTGTACAAATACTATCGTGAAATATTATCTGACACTAGAGTGTCAGATAATACCCTGTAATAGTGAAATAATACATAAACGAAAATCATACTCTAAAATTATACAACACTCTCAAAGTCTCTCAATAGCATTTAATTTTGGCATGTATGTATAGATGCAGACACAAGGATGATACTGCAAGTTTTGCAATCAACGCCTCACTAGGAGGAGACTCTTAGAAAATCAATTTAAAAAGTTGCGGGGGGTCAGTTCTCAATTT